TCACATGAGCCAGCCTGAAGCCCCTGGGTGAAACTCTCCAGGGGCTGGATCTTGCTGCGAGTACTGTTACAGATGGGCTCGGGAGCCGTTTCTCTTTAGTGGCTTCTTGCTGGAACAGCGGGACAGAGGAAAGCGTTCAGATACTTTGGAGAATAGAGTAAAAGCTTCCGCAGTTGTGTATGAAATCCTGTTGGGAGGAGGAGCTGGAGGAGGGTGATTAGGGCTTTTTTTCCTCTTAAGCTCTGTTGTCACTGCACCCTGGCCTCCAAAAGTCTGTCCTTGCAACACTTCACCTGAAACGTTTTTCTCTGTGTAGGCTTTCTCACTGCTGAGACCTGAACTTTAACAACTATAAGTATATTAAATAAAGCCTATTAAGCAAAGGCTATTACTGATAATGGATTAAATAGATAGTCTTAATGGAATTTATCTGTAGTGCCCGTGTAGTACTGAGACTTGCAGCTCACAGATAATTTATTTAACACTCTGTCTTCTTTCTTTTTTTTTTTTACTTTTTTTAAGTTGTAATGCAGAGTAAATATCTCCGAGGACTAACCTTGCTGTTTGCTTGCTTTCCCCCTTTTATTTTCCAGTCTTCCCTCTACCCAGTGAAACTGCATCAAAATGTCTCTCTATCCTTCCCTGGAAGATCTGAAGGTGGACAAAGTTATTCAGGTATGGTGGGCTTTAGTAAGATCAGTTTTGATGACAGTAATGTATTTGATGCTATTCACTCCAATAAGGGGGAGATTTATTGTAGGGAACAGTTTTGCTTCACCACCACACTCTAAAAGGGGAAAGAAAAACTGTTTATGGCTAGATATCATATTACTGTTTATTTTACCACTCTTAGGTCTATTTATTTTCTTTTATATATTAATTTATAGTCCTCTGTTTTTAATGTGTTGATATGTTTGGCTGTTTTGAAGTATAGGTACTTGGTCTTAAGCAGACAAACACAGTCAGTCTGTTCTTGTACTTCAGCCCTGAAGTGATGAATAAATGTTGACTGAACTAATAAACCTGCTGTGTCTCACTCCTGGTGTCCCAGACTTCTGGCAGAGAAAGCTTTTGTGGTTAGTTAGGCACAAAAAATAACGCTGGCTCTTTTAAGGTCATCTGGAATCATGGGCTTGTCCTCTGGCTATTTTATGGCAGTGACCAGTTCTCTCCATTCTTCCAAGGTTATCACCTTTGTGTAGAAAACCTTCACGTGTAAGAGTATCCATATATTTGTTATGAGTCAGGATGAGGATGGAAAAAAAAAAATCTGTGAAACAAAATAATGGAAAAAAAAAATGGATAAACACTGAGAAATTTGACATAAATGTATTTTACAGGGATTTCCCTTGCTTTCTTGAGCATTTTGCCTAGCTTCTGTTTTTCGTTCCCAAACTTAAATTAGATTCCCTCCTGTTTTGCACAACACCAATGAGTTAATACTGCATTTTGAAGTGACTGCAGCTTTTGTCCTTGTCCTTCTTGCAGGGAAGCAGTTGAGCAAACTGCACAGGACAGCTCATTAACTCTCCTGTGCTGTCCCAAAGTGGAGTGTCTCTGTCCCACCTCTGTTTGTATGTGTGAGGTGAGGCTCTTGAAGTTGTGGGCGCTGTGTTAGGATTTCTCCTTGTGTCCACCCACTCCGTTCTTCTTATCTTACCACAGTCCTTATCTACAGCTGGGTAGTGCTGAACTCAGGAAAAAACCCTAGCCCGGAGCCAAGAATGTGCTCCTTCAGCCTTTTAACAACCAACTGCTGGAGCTTATGTATGACAATTAAAAATATTAAATGTGGTCTTTCTGCTGCTTCATTTCTGTGGCTACTGAATGAAGCTGTGAGGAAATGAAAGCAGGGTGTCTGCTGAGACCTGCAAATCTTGAACCATAGGTACGTGTGCTGCCATCATATAGTGCAGGAGCTCTCCTGCCTCGTCTTGCACATACACTCAGCAGGTTTTATGACCTCGGGCAGAAGTGCCTTGTTCCTGTGACCATGCCTGTAGTCTGCTGTGCTGCTTCACAGACAAAGAAGAGGTTTCTGTGGGGAGGGTAATCAGCTAGTGTAATCCTTGGCGATGCTAATCTCAAAGGTCAGTTCCCCAGAAGTCAGTTCACGTGGGACAGATGCCTGCTGTGATTCTTAACTGTCTCCTCAAAGTTTAAATTAGGATTTCATTAAGTTCTACCACTTCATGACTGGGATGTCAAGAGAGCCTGTGAGAAAATTCTTCTGGAGGTGGAAGAGAAGGGAGGTTGAGTGAAGAGCATTTGGTTCCAGATCCTCAGTGGTGAGGCTTTGAGTGTTCTTGTTTGCATCATCAGCTGGGAACGTTGCCCCCCAGCAGTTACGTGGTGGCATCTCACTCCTGCTGACCGGAGTAGGAACTGGGGGTCACGGCCTGTCTACTGAGTGTGGTTGTGACAGAAGGGAAGTGAACACTGTCTTTGCTAAATACCAGTATTTTGAGAGTAAATAATTCCCTTTGCACTAATGTTTTTGGTAGCAAAGGCTAAATTACTTGCCTCTACCAAAAACTGCATTATAAAAATGCTGTCTTTTTAAATACATCTGAGAGCACCCTTAGAAAAGAGCATAGCACTGAAAGACAAAGTCTGTATCCACGAGTGAGTGATATTAAAATGACCCCTGGTTAAAACAAATGGACTTGTTACTTTAAACACTCTAACCTGTTCTTTTTGGCCAGCAGCTGAGTTGCAGGCTGTTCTTCTGCATACATTTGATATTGATAAATAATGAGTCATTCTTCTTTTTCTCAAAACAACTTCCTGGTGAATACAGGAATATGAAATCTCCTATTTTTAAGCATGATTTCCTTAAAAACATTGAGTAATTTGACCGTTATGTGTTAGAGGATTTACGTGTCCTGCTAGCATAGTGCTTCACTGTGTACTTAGTAATTTCCTCCTGTCTTTGACATTCAACCTCAGGAGGACTATTGGGGTAGCCACTTCCATCACGGGCCTCTGCGAGGCAGTGGTTTTCACTGGTCATGGTGACACAAGGCCAAAAAAAGCAGCAGCTGAGGTATGGAGAAGGAAGGAAACTGGATTGCTTCAGTGTGGTCTCTTTATATTTGTGATTCAGTAAGCCATATAGAAGTCAAGCTTGGTGTATTCACTGTAGTGGCAAATTCTGTAGAAAAAACATCTTAGAAGGCCGGTTTCTTTCAGAAAGTATTAAAATAGTAGCACTGGATTGTGTGGAACTTGAAACCTGTCAGGGACTGTTGTAGAACTCATGAATAATGTGTGTGAGTGGTGAAGAGGTAAAACTGCTGCTATCCAGCTGAAAAAAAAGCACTAATTGCAAAACACTCTGCCAAAGGCCGTACCTTAAATTTTAAAGTTATAAAGCTTTGTCAGCTGCCTTTAATGTGTCTCTTAAAGCTCTTCAATTTGCTTGATGACAAAACCAGAACCAGCTGATGGTAAAATCTTCCTGCATTCAAACTGCAGCCTTGTCTCTGAGGAAGACAAAAGTTCTGCCAAAGTAGCTTGATACTACTACAGCATATTGTATTGCAGTTACTTCTCATTTCAGAGAAGAAGACTGATTTCAGAACTTCAAGATGGATAGTAACTAGCATGTACAACAAAAAAAAAGCAAAGATTTTGTCTCCTGCCTACATAATAAAGATTTCATAGTTGTGGATTTTTTTTCTTGTATAAGGTAACATATGTGACTTTCTTTGCTTCTAGGCTCAGACTGCCTTTTCTTCAAATCCAGCTAATCCAGCAATCTTGTCTGAGGCTTCTGCTCCTATTCCTCACGATGGAGGTAAGCTCCTGGACTGTATGGTATCCTGATGTTGTGGAAAGCAGTCATGAAATTCAAAGTTAACAGAACAGTTCAAAAATACCTGTAAATATGTAGCCATGTTTACAAAGTTGTGGCAAGCACTAACCCGTCTCTTAATTTCTCAAAACCTTTTCCAAGTGAGCCTAAAGTAATGAGATTTGCTGTTAGTACTCTTTGAGCTCTTTAACCCTTGCCTCAGACACCTAGTTGTCCTGATTTATCACAACTATTTGTAAGCTTTGGGCGCCTTGCCTTTTCCTATCAGCTTGCTTAGGAACAGATGAAAACAAAGGAGTGCCCAGGAAGGTGGAACTTGATCTTGTCATTCTGTCATTGTAAAGCTTCCAGCAGATTTAGTGATCAAAAGTCTGTTGGGAAATCCATCAGTCCTAAAGCTGAATGACTTGTACCCATTTCTTCTCCTTTTCTTCCATACATGTGTACCTCCATGAAGGCAGACAGGTATGTTTGAGGTCAGAGCATTGGCTTAGTAAGTTACACCTGGTGTAAAAGGCCTAAAGCCTCTAACCAGCGTGACCAGCAGTGCTGGAACACAAGTCAAGAATGCTGGTGGATCAGATATTAAAGCTTGGTGAATGTAACTTTGTCTCCAGTTCTCATCTTGGTGCTGGTGGGTCTAAGACTTAGACTTTAAGGCAGGAGTTTGTATAGCTCACCAGAGAGCTGTCTCTTGCAGATCCTTTCTGGAATTAATTGCTCATCAGTAAAGGACGGGAGGCCTACACCATCTATAGGATGTGCCACACCCAGTGGGAATCCCTCTGTCCTGACAGAGGCACGAGAATATACACAACATCAAGGGCTTTGGGGTGTTCTGCTGTTTGGAGGTCTCTCTTTTGAATGAGAACATAATACAGGCAGCAAAACTGTGTCCTTTGTGGTCTTCAATGAAGAATAAAAGAGGAGAATGGACTAGATGCAGAGGTCTCGTGCAACATCAGTTTTGTATATTCCATGGGGCTTGAAAGTGCAAGCAGAACCAGAAGAAGTAGGCATTAAAAGCTTATTAATCTATATTGGTGAAAGTACAAACTGATAGATTGATCTGGAAATAAGATCAGACAGCTCTCATGTGAAGCACCTTGCAAACATGACTCCTGAATGTGTAAGGAGCAAAAAAGTCTCCAGTTCATACTGGCATTCACCTTTCAATGACCTTTGTTCCTTCCCAGAAAAGTTGCTTTCCATTTCTGCTGCAATGTAGATTCTGATGATAGGTGGTTTTATACCTGTACCCATCAGTGAACACTAGAAGAAACCTGAGCTTTGTGAATTGGGGAGCTGACTTGCCTCCAAGGCTGTCCTTTGCACCACCTTACTTTCTGAGCAGTATTTTATATCCTTGTGGAATGTCAAGAGCAACATCAGGTTTATTTCCAGAGTGGTTCAGCTCAAGGTCTGACAAGTCTGTCAGTTAACTTTTTTTCCTTCTACTCCCCACATCCTGCTCCTCTCACATACAGAGGAATCTCCTGCTGGATTTTTTAAGGACCATGTTTATTTTGGCTTGTTGAGAAGCGTGTCTAAAACCACTTCATTTTGAAGCTGTGAGACAATGACAAACCCTCTTTCTTGAAGACTCTTAAAGCAGACTGTACTGTGAATCTTGTGGCCTGGAGGTAGTCTTCTGCAGAAACCTTACCATGCCTTGGAGCTGGAATGTCTTTGGCATGGAGGCCTCTTGTGAGTGCAGTCTGGCATTTGGTGGAAGGTCAGTGTATGTATTCTCCAGTGTACTTGTTTTAGGGCTGGGAGGGAGGGTAGTTCCCCACTAGTTGCCCAAAAGCTTTGGAGCAAGGGTGTGTCTTCATGGAGTACACCACAAGGTTGGGTTTGGAATTTATCACCACGTGTCTAATGTTTGTGCCATAAAGGATGAATGGTGGAACTGAAACTAAAAGCTCTTTGCAAGCTCTCGATCTCAAAAATGCCTCCTCTGGTTACTTGTCTAAACTGGGCTAGAGTAGCAGTCCTGATTCTGCTCTGGATCCTGCACTTGGGTCACAACAACCCCACACAACGCTCTGTCCCTGGGGAAGAGTGGCTGGAAAGCAGCCCAGTGGAGAAGGCCCTGGGAATGCTGGTCAACAGCTGGCTGAATAGGAGCCAGTGTGTGCCCAGGTGGCCAAGAAGGCCACCAGCATCCTGGCTTGTATCAGAAATAGTGTGGCTGGCAGGACTAGAGCAGGGATCAACCACCTGGACTCAACTCTGGTGATGCCTCAGCTCAAAGGGGTTTGGTTTTGGGCCCCTCACTATGAGAAGGACATTGAGGGGCGGGATGTGTCCAAAGAAGGGCAACAAAGCTGGGGGAGGGTCTAGAGCACAGGTCTGGTGAGGAGTGGCTGGAGGACCTGGGGTTGTTGAGCCTGGAGCAAAGGAGGCTCAGGGGAGACTTTCTGGCTCTTGACAACTCCCTGACAGGAGGTTGGAGCCAGGTGGGGGTCAGGCTCTTCTCCCAAGGAACAAGCAATAAGACAGAAGGGAACATCCTCAAGTTGTGCCAGGAAAGGTTTAGGCTGGACATGAAGAAAAGCATCTTCTCTGGAAGAGTTTTTAAGGCTTAGCCCAGGCATCTCAGGGCAGTGGTGGAATCCCCAACCCAGAGGAGTTTCAAAGCTGTGGAGATGTGGAGCTGAGGGACATGGGTTAGTGGTGGGCTTGGCAGTGCTGGGGTAATGGTTGGACTGATGATCTGAAAGGTCTCATCCAACCAAAACGATTCTGTGATTCAAGCAGGTCTTCTGTCATCATTTTCACAATAAATACATTCCAGTACCTGAGCTTTGTTGAAATAAGTGCACACAGAGGAGCGGCAGCTGCTCGTTCTGTCACACCAACTGTTGTAGTGACAGGGCTTTTCTGTTCTGTTTTTCTCCTGCAGGTTTATACCCCAGGTTGTATCCAGAGCTCTCACAGTACATGGGCCTGAGCCTCAGCGAGGAAGAGGTGCAGAGGAACTTGCCCGTGGCAGCAGCAGCTCAGCCCCAGGGTGTAAGTGCCAGTCAAGTACCTTTTAGAAAGCAAAAGTGTAAACCCTAAATGTCTCTCTACCCTTCTAGAGAGTAGACTACTCCCTGTCTTAAGTACAAATGAATTAAGTACCAGCCCCTGTTTTAATATGGTCCTAAACTGAGCAGTATGTGTCCAGTGGTGGGAGCGGGGAGGAGCTATGTTGCAACTCGTGTTGGTTTTTTAGTATATCACTTCATATAAACTGACATGTATCTATATAAAAATTTAAAACTTGTCATCTGGCTCTTTTGTTTTCATCAGCAACTGGTAACACGACCTTCTACTAATTACATGGTAGCTCCAGTGACTGGGAATGATGTTGGAATTCGCAGAGCAGAAATTAAGCAAGGCATCCGGGAGACAATTTTGTGTAAAGATCAGGATGGCAAAATTGGACTTCGCCTGAAGTCCGTTGACAATGTAAGTATAAGAAGCTTGCTCTCGCCTCTAGAGATCTTACTACTGGATTAAATTAGTAGTGAAGTTAGTGTGTGGTCATGGAATTGTCTCCTGCATAATGTTTTTTTACCCATTATTAGAATTTTAAAATCCTTCAGTAATTAGATTTCCAGCTGTCTGAGCTAGGATCTAAATTTACAGCAGAAATTTACTTCCATGGTTTTTATAACACCTGAAAAATTCTTGTAACTTTTTTTGCCCACCTTGGCATGAAGTTGTCCTTGCAGAGGTGCTGTGATACTTCAGTGGTTCAAGACTTCTTCTCTCTCTGTCTGTGGAAACATTGGGCAGTAGTTACAATTCAGTGGTAGGCAGAGACCTGTCCATGGCATAGAAGCTTTTATAGATTTCTTGGAGTGTGTTGCTGGTGAGAAAAGTAAGGATGGTGCGGGTGTCATCTTTCTGTATGTAAGGAGCCATTTCAGAGTAGGCTTTTCTGAGTTTCCCTTAACAAGAACATAGCTGCAAGAAGATCCCTAAACCTGGTCTTTTGGGGCTTTTTTTCTTGGCAAGGCTGTTTAAGCTGAATGTTTAAAAAAACTCTTCTACTCAAGGTTTCATAGAGGGTTAAAGTGCTTTTTGTAGTTCAACCAAGGAAATGTTGGGATTTCCTTACAGTATCTTTTTTTTGTGTTGGTTTTCTCTTTTTTTAAATGCCACCCACTTTCCCCAAAAGTATTATCTACAGTTTGCTTTGATATGCTTTACTTTGGTTTTTTGGGTACTTTGACTAGAAATAGTTTAACACCTTGCGTTTTTTTTACCTGAGGTGCTGTCAAATAATTGATGCAAAGTTGAAAACTAATGGTGTTGTGAAAGAAGGAAAAATTAGCCATAGAGTTCCTACCATTACTGATCTATTTCTCCAGCAATGTGTAGACTCTCGTATCTGTCAAAGGAATTTTTAGTGAAATGCAGAAGAACACAGTGCAAACTTAACAATAATCTGTCTCGATCCAGTTGTTCAGATTTCTTGCTAAAGCAGAATATTTACCCTTTTGAGTAAGCTTTAATGTTATGCTTATGTCTTTTTTCATATCTAGAGCTCTAGACAGAACAGGTTTGCCTATTTCTGACTTCATTCCAGCATTAATTATCTGTCAGTCTCTTAAAGACATCTAGAAACAGACTGAAATTGCAAAAATGCCCCTTCAGGAGAGACAATTAGCAAGTCCTTCTGTCCATTTGGACGGTATTCCATAGAGAATGGGAAACTTTAAAGGGCAGTGTGTTCTGTTACTGGTCTTCATCTTCAAGGAAGAGCTGCTTCTTTTGGTTTGTGGATTTTTTTTTTCCCACTTTTCTCCTTTGTAGGGTATATTTGTCCAGTTAGTTCAGGCAAACTCTCCAGCATCCCTCGCTGGTCTGCGGTTTGGGGACCAAGTTCTGCAGATCAATGGAGAGAACTGTGCAGGATGGAGTTCTGATAAAGCACACAAAGTTCTGAAACAGGCTTCTGGAGAAAGGATTTCGATGATCATTCGGGACAGGTAAAGCCAACTGCAGATACAAATTGTCATATCTCTTTTGGAGTCATTCTGTGGGGTTTGGGTCTCCCCTTGCTTGAGCAGGACTGCAGGCATGACTAAATCTGTTTGTCCCTGTACTTCAATAGTAAGGGTGGTCAGAAATGTTCCCTTTTGTGGGAAACAGTCAAAAATGGTTGCTAATATGTGAACTCTTGGTGCACGCTTGCCCGGGCATGATGAGGTGTGATGTTTTTCAAGGTAAACTAATGAGGGATAGTGCAAGATAAATTTGAACTCAAAATTCAAGAGTTCTGTGCATTTTTTTTTTTTTTTTTTGGACACAACTTGACTTTTTCTTATACTCTGGGCCCTTCACTGCAAGGACATTGAGGTGCTGGAGTGTGTCCAGAGAAGGGCAACAAAGCTGAGGAAGGGTCTGGAGAACAAGTCTTGTGAGGAGTGACTGAGGGACTGCAGTTGCTGAGCCTGGAGCAAAGGAGGCTCAGGAGAGACCTTCTCACTATCCACAACTCTCTGAAAGGAGGTTATGGTGAGCTGGAGGTTGCTCTCTTCTCCCAGGGAACAGGTGATGTAGTAATGTCATATTCAGTGTAAGGTCTGTAGGGTATGACCCAGTGGAGGACTTGCTACTTCTATCAGAGCAGCTGCTTCTACTGTTTCTTGAAACCAAATGCTGTGGTAGTAGATTCCCTCCTGTGCCTACAACCTTTGTACCCAGCTCCCTGCCCCCTTCCTGGATTTACTGCCTTTTGAAGATACAGTTTAAAGGTTTATTGTCTGTAAAGCAGTAGGAATGTTTTTGGGAGAAGCCTTGTACTCCAGAATCCTGTGGTCTACCTACAGTTGTTAAAACCACCTGAGCTATTTTATCTGCCTTGTCACGGCTGTAGAGGAAACTTAATTTTTAACAGATGCTTATATTTAGTTGGTTGCTGTGGTGGGTGGATGTTGTATGAGACTGGGTTTTTTTTTTGTGTGATTATTAATCCAGATGGTGAAATGCCTGTAGAACAGGGGGAAAACACATAAGGTTTGTAAACAAACCTATATTAATACAAAAATACTAACAAAACCAAGTTAGACCAACTACAATGAAAAGTGGTTTGGTTTATGAGTCTTTTAGAGCACAGTTACTTCTTGTGAGTCGAAGGTGCTGAACTGGTGTGTGGCTCTTCCCGTGGTTTAGTGGGCCCAAAACATGGCTTTGTGTTTTCAACACCTTACAGGCCCTTTGAACGGATTATTACTATGCATAAGGACAGCACAGGGCACGTTGGTTTCATATTCAAGAACGGCAAAATCACCTCAATAGTGAAGGACAGTTCTGCTGCCAGAAATGGACTGCTTACAGAGCACAACATCTGTGAAATCAACGGCCAGAATGTCATTGGATTGAAGGTAGGTAACAGTGTGTGGTGGGTGCAGATAGCTGTGTGTGAGTCCAGTAATGGCGTTTTGGAGGGGGAGAAGGATTGTTAATGTCTTGTTTCGTGTTCATAAAACAAGGAATTCATCAGAGGTGACTTATCCAAGTCTCTCCAGTCGAGTTATGTTGAGGCTGCTTTGTAGTTGTAGGCAAGGCAACTCAATTCTTACTCTCTGCCTCCTGCCTAGGCTCACCCTCAGTTTTTATCTTTAAATTTGTTGGCATAACAAAAAAAAAGTGAGCTTCCTGCTGCCAACCTGTGTGCAGTTCCAGTAGGAACTCTGTGTAACGTCTGTCTGTAGTCAGTCAGTGCGGATCCTGCTGAGCAGACATCTCATTGCTGGCTCAGGGGCTCGCCCTTGGGGCTGAACGCTCCAAGCAAGGAACTGCAGGTCTCTCAAGCTCCCTGAAAAATGTCCAGAAAAAGCTCTGGAACTGCTGCTTTGTCAGTCAGCTTGAGTCATGTCCCTCATAAGACTTCTTGTGTAACGACAGGACCCCCAGATCGCAGACATCTTGGCAACAGCGGGAAATGTCGTGACCATCACTGTCATGCCTTCCGGTATTTACGAGTATATAATAAAGAGGTAGGTAATAAACAAAGCAGCTGTGGTGATGGTGACTGATTTTTTTTATTTGTAGGCTAAGTAAAATGTAATCAAGACCTAATTACAAACTTAATGGGAAAGCTGGAATGAGAGTTGTGGGGAGTCTGCAAATCTCCTTAATCTGATGTTTTAGCCAAACTGGTGTGGTCTGGTTCTGTTTTTTAAACCATTCATAGATTGGTGACGCTCCTTTTGCCTTTACTTCTCCTGAAAACCCCTTTTCTAAATGTAATTTGACTAAACTTGAGTTTCCAAGAACTTCCAAGTACATTGATATCACCAGTATTTTTTACTATGTAACTGAAAATGTTGTTTCTAGTGCAGCTACTTCTGGTGACATAAGCATGGCTCTTGGCAGGGTGGAATTGATCTTTCTAATCCTTGGGCAGCGACATCTTTCTGCAGCTCAGTCACTCCTGCAGAAATGTTTTTGAAGTTACTAGAAATTAATAATGCTTCATATATAATTGAGTCTTTTTTCCTGTCCCCCTCCACTTGGCATGCTCTTTCTACAAAAAGACTTTTTTCATTTTTAACAGCCATGTTTCCCCCTGCCCTCTTGCCTCACACTCGTGGTGCTGCTCTGCTTGCACGCAGGCACTGGAGGATTTGATAACACAGCTACGTTACTAATGACACCATCGAGTACCACGGGCTTCTCTTCCATCTCTGCAGCCTGCTGCAGTTTTCTATACCAACACATTTGTTGTCAAAAATAAAAGGCCAACTTTTGAGTTGTCCTAGAGGGCTGGTGATGACAAAGGGGGATAGGGAGCTTTAGCCATCTTTGAGAGTCCTCTTACAAAACTGAATGCCTTTCCCTTTTTTCTAGGATGGCAACTAGCATTATGAAAAGCCTGATGGATCACTCTGTTCCTGAGGTCTAAGCTTGCAACCTGTATGTGTGTAGATAGAACAATGATTCCACTAAACTCGGGCTGTTCTACTCAGTGATTTCTTTCTTCTGCACGTGAGCCTCTCTGGAGGCTACGAGAAGATAATGCTGCAGCAGGCACTTGCATCTCTAATGGCTGGGAATGTTACAGGTCAACATATCTCGTTTTATTCACAAACTGTAAAACTTGTAGCCTTACATGCTTGACAAATGTGAAATTCCAATCACGCTACGACTCCTTTTGGTAGGACTTTTGGTTCACTACTACTACAAGCCATTGCAACTACAGGGACTGGGTATCCCTTGCAAAGTTACGTGTTGTTGCCTAGGACAATGCTGTGCTTTGTATGTTTAAGACAAATGAGTATTTTTACTGCTTTCTGTTTGCAATAGTAGATTTGAAAACATGTTAGAAATATGACTAGTACTAGGTAGTAGGTTTGTTTTAGTAAATACTGTTTACAGGAGAACACCAGCTAAGCTGACTAGAGCTAGAGGCATCATTCAGTAAGTAAGCGTATTAAATAAGTAGTGTACAGACACTCAGATCTTTTTATGACTTGTTATACAAATTGTATCTAATATGCTTATCTCTCGCCTTAACCATGTTCTTAAAGATTCAGAAATAACCAAATAAATGACTGAAACCCTAGGTCCTGTGTGAGCACATGCTTATGATGAGCTGACAGGCTTGGTTTGTTGAGTTGTCTTTGGCTGCAAAGCAGCTTTTGAAAGCAAAGGTAGGAAATACAGTTCAAAACAGTTTTCTACATAAGCTTACTGCATACAATGCTGAATTGTTTTACAAGGGTAGATCCAGGATACTTTAGACAAGCTATTCTTAATTCATACCTTTTTAATGACTGGCTGGGCATCAGTCTGCTGGTGGGGTGTGGCAGGTACTTGCCTTGGTCTCACTTCTTCACTTTCTCCTCTTCACTTAGTGAACTACATTTCTCACAACCTACAGATTTTTCCTCCCTTCCCCTTTTCATTCTCTTACCCATCCTGTTGTGGGGTGGCTGAGTGAGAAACTCAAGGACTTGGCTGCTGCTTGGGGTCAACCCACCACAACTGGCCAGAGGCACATTCAGTTGAGACTCTGAGTCAAATTAAGTGATCTGAAGTTAAGTACCAGTGATGGTGAGTGATTTCAAATTTTTTTTTTTTTTTTTAATGCTTTGTTCCAGGTTTCCGCTCTGAAATCTGGTATTGCTGAACTTCAGCCTTCCTCACAGTGGGCAGTAGCCCAGAGCTGAAGCAAGCACCTTTATAGGTGTGATTGGTTGTAAGGTGGGTGTGGGGTGTCAGTCCAGCTATTCTTTCAGAACTGATTTAGAGCCAGAATTGGTCTGGGGATGGTGGTATCTTATTTATTTACTTGTTTGTCCATTTAAATGAAATAATACTTCAGAAGATGACTGTAAGAGCTCACATGAGAAAGAAGAGTGAACAGTTGTTCACAGCTTGGCACTGTGCAGTAACTGGAATCTCTTGGGCCAGGCCCTTAGTAGCATGTGTAGCTGGTTGCAGCTTTTCAAGCTTGTAGGAGATGTAGCAATGGGGGTAGAGTTGGGAGCTTCAGTTATGGATCTGAGTTGCAGACCTGCTGCTCTTCCTGGTAGTATTCTGAAGTTCAGCTGTGTCAGCTCAGCTGTACACCTGCCAAGAAGAGTTGTCTTGGAGCTTCCTGTTTCTCAAGTGAATTTCCAAGAGAATATCCCAGCTAACCCATTACACTACTCCAGGCTGTAGTGGTGATGACATTAATCCCAGGAGCCATTTTAATGGGATGGTTTGGTTACTAAATAGTATGTCTCTGGAACCTCTGTGGCAAGCATCTACTGGCAGTAATTGGTGGCTTCGTGGAGTGTTGGTTTGATGGGCGTAGAGCCCATAGCCATCATCTCCATGTTCCTTGGCAAGCTGGCTTGCTGAGCTATGAAGTCCCTGGAGCCCCAAGCAAGGTATTATGGAAATGCTGATCCCTGCATGGAACCAGGTCTGACTTGAGAACAGGTGAGGGAGCCCATTCTGTACCTGTTCAAGCTTTAAAAATCCTTATTTATGCAAACCTCTTATTATAGCTTGACCAACAGGGTTTGACCACCTTAAACCTTATGACTTACTAGTACATACAAGTTGGGCTAAAACTTGGCAAAAAGAAGTGAACTGAGACAAAAACAGGTTAGAGGAGCAGACCCAAATACACTTCTTTTGTTATAAAACAGCTGTAATGGGAAGTAATAGAAAGGTAGAACTTCAGCACAAGTACTTGGTGTTTTCCTTCCAGCTGCAGCACACAGCAACCAGAAGTGAAAGGATTAATCAAAAAACCTGGTTTTATGCAGAAACTAGCAGCTTGGAGAGTAAGCTGTGGTTAATTATGTGTACCCAGGTAAACTCTGAGTGAAGCTGCAAGAGAATACTAGTTATGTAATTCCTTGTATACCTCGATTTAAAAAAAAGGCACCAAACCAACTTAATGATGATGTGGTTAATAACTGATAATTTGATTTTCTGCCTTAAAAAGCTAAGGCTGCTTTAGGCAATGAAGCAGCTGGCTGAGGCCTCGGTGTTCTGAGCACTTTTTACAGCAGGAAGCAAACCTCAGCTGATCTTAAATAGGGACGTACACAACGCATAGCTCTTAGCCAAAAGGAAGTTAACCCACTACTAAAAATTACTCTTCAGTCAAGAATCAGGGATCACAAATTTCATTTTCCTCTGTGATAAAGGAGCAGAGCTGTGCCCTAAATTTGGGTGAGATGGCATCCAGAAAGCAGAGGTGAAGGTGTGTATTTTACTATTGCTCAGGTTGTCCCTTTGTGCCTTTTTTTTTTTTTTTCAGGCACCTTGGAGTACAACCTGAGTTGCAAAGTTGCACAGAATACAGAAACAGGATGTGCTAAAAGGCACTACAGTGAGGAAGCCAGCAATCCTCACCCTACTTTGACAACACACAAAGCTTTTAACACAAGCCAGAAATCACATGAGACAGGTCCAGGCAAGTGTAGGATGCAAGTTTCTGTATTTGGGAAATAAACAACAGAAGATGAACATGGTAGACACCAAACATTGTGCTGCAAGATTAAGACGTAGCAGCAGGCATGCATGATACAGCTTAATCTTTTGCCACGTGCCTTCACCACACACACATTGATTACATAAAAATTTGGTTATTTTAAGCCCAGTGAGTAATGCAACTGAAACACGAGTTTGCTTTAACATCATGCCATTACATTACTGAAAAATTAAGTTCAATTCCAGCATCATGAAAAAAAATTTAAATAAACCCCAGCCCCTAACCATAAAATAATGGTTTTATGATGCTAAAGAAACTGCTGTGCCCTCAGATAGGTGTTGGGTGTCAAAGCCAAGGCAGGAGATAATTTATTCAGACAATCAGATATAACTATGTTGATACTGATACCATTTAGAAGAATGCTTGTCCTGGACTCCTTGACAAGGCATCTTCATATCAGCACTAGAGAAGACCACCAGAGAAATAAATATCGTGCTCGGGGCAACAGCACAGCTGCCAATGGTTGTTGCTGTATTAGGCCATTTAAAGACCATTTCAAGTCTTTACCTCCAGCCCAGCTCCTTGTAGGAAATCCCAAAGTCCTACAGTGAAAGTAAGCCAAGTGCAGCACTGCCTTGGCACTGGGTCAAGACAACAAAGCTTTGGCTAAACCCAGGGGCTGCAACTGAAACTCCATCTCAAAGATCATCTGAGAGTGGAAAGCAATTGAGAACACCAAACCCAACATGCAAAGGTTATTACGAGGAGCAGTAACACATGATGAAAAGCAGTAGTAACAGAGCCCAGGACCAACTTCAGGTGCAGTGTAAGGAGAAGATTTATATCAATTCCTTGTATGTGCAACTGTCCTCTGTTAGTTCATCAATTTTATGCTTGGCTTCCTCTCAGGCTAGTATGTTACTGCTGTTTTTCCATAGAAAAAGCAGTCTAGGGTGTGTTCTTATACTTCCCTGTGCTTCCACAAACAGCCACGGTTGAAGACCAGATGGCCAGACAAGGCTGACCACTGCTCAGAACAACAGCTGCCAGAAAGTGGCTCAAAGTAGCTCCGACCATCATCTTCACTAGGAAGGAAAGGTGACTACACAGGAGGCACAAACATTGTCATGAGACATGGTACTAAGCTGCAAGCAGCCCTCAACACTTGCAGCAATGCAAATGCTGCTTTGAAACAGCAAGCCATGATGCATTCTCTACATAAATTAGACAATGACTGCAAGTTAAGAGCTCTTTAATTACAGAAAAATAGGTCTTTAATTTCATCTCAGATAGCATTTTAGACAACCATCTCCAATATGATAGTCCATGAAACACAAACGCATACGCTACCAAAGTGAAGAGCTCTCAGTGAAGTCACTGCAACGTAGAAAGTTGTAGCCACACAGAGCTTCCTGTCTGGTTGAACTTCAGCAGCCATCATTGCACGCAGTTAAGTTCCTTTAAAAGGTCTGGTTTAAAACAAGAGTTCATTTCAATGCCTGGAGGGAAAGGCACTTAGTATTGCAGTTTCCAGAACATGATTTGTCTGTCTTCCCCTCCTGTAATAACACTGTTGCACTGTTCATTCATCCACATGGATGTTACAGCACCTGGGGAAAAAAACCAACCCCAAGCAAACAAGTAAATCCACATGCAAGTAAACGAGGGGCTCAAGATGATGGAGCCAAGATGATTTTTTTTTTTTAAGAGTTTAAGATCATCTGATCTTTAGTTTGGATTACATTGACAGCACAAATGCTAAGAATTCTAGGGTGGCTGCACTAGCTGCAAAGTGATCTCTGTACAGGATGTGTTCCAGAGTTCGATCTTATAGTAGAGAGGCTTAAAATGTGTTCAGGAAGGCAGGCTTAAAAACCAAAACTTGAATAAAACTGAGCTAGTTTTTGTCCTTCACACATCCTGGTTGCTATTGTACTAAAGATGATACAGATAAATTTAAGAAGCCTATAAATCCCTATCCAAAACCATTTCCCTGGTAAATTTTACTTCATTTCTTGTTAGACTGACAGTCTGGATGGACTTAAGTCTCCAGCAAAGTCTGTACTACACTTTATTAGGGCTATGTTGACTTTTGTGATGTTGTATGAATTAGAAAAATCCCAAGTCATTTACCTTTGTAAACAGGACTATTCCTCATTATTAAAACTTCTAGGGAGGTTCACATGGACCTGCGTTTAGTTCCAACAGGTAACACTAACATCAAGAGCAGCCCACTGACCAAGCAGGAGTCTCAAACTTTGCAGTACTAACAGAGCTGGGAAACAG